GGCAACCCCCCTCTGAGGAAACTTGCCAAGAAAACCCTATGATAGGTTCGGTTACGACATGGAGGCACACAACAACAAGAAGAACTAATTTTCAAGCTTTTCCAGACATTTCCAGTAGTCCTCTCTTGGAAGCAAGGCGGTGGTCAAGATGGAGCCTTGGACTGATGCAACAAGGATGCTCTTATGCAATGCTACAAGACACCTGGAGAAGAGACGGTCAAGAAGTGATATGAGAGCCCTGTTTAAATATTTGAAGGGATGTCATATTGAGGAGGGAACAAGCTTGTTTTCTGCTGCTCCAGAGAATAGGACTGAGCAATGGATGCAAGCTACAGGAAAAGAGATTCCATCTAAATATTAGGAGAAACTTCCTGATAGTAAGAGCTGTTCAACAGTGGAAGATGCTCCATCAGAGAGTGATGGAGTCTCCTTCTTTAGAGGTCTTTAAACGGAGGCTGGATGGCCATCTGTCGGGGATGCTTTGATTGAGAGTTCCTGCATGACAGGGGGGTTGGACTGGATGGCCCTTGGAGTTTCATCCAATTCTATGATTCCTCTGCCCCATGCTTTCTCTCTCTCTTTTTAGGAGCTGTAGTCCAAAATAAATGTTTAAGAAGGAAACTTTCCCAGGCTCTATTCTGGAACTTTACCCGCTAAGCTGTGAACATTTCATAAGCTTCCAACCAGCGAACCCATTCCATGCAGCTTTTTAAAAGGAACAAGAAAGATAATAATCCGTTGATTAATTACAAGATTGTTTGAGCCTGACATTGATCCCAGGCAAAGCAATGAAAAGTCTTCATTAATAAAGATTACAAGCCGGCATTTTAATCAACGTTTTCAGCAGAGTTTAATGAACAGTAGACCTGATTAAGCAAAAGCCTCTTTTATTGTTTTTATTTAATAAGATTGTGTTTCGTTGATTGCTGAGCCCTCAACTTCTTCATTTTCGGAGCATTTAATCATTTAAAAGTTTAATAAGCCAACATGGTGTAGTGATGTGAGAATTGGATGAGGACCCTGAGAGGCCAGGATTTGAATCCCTGCTCAGCCCTGGAAGCCCCCTGGATGACCTTAGGCAAGTCATGCTGTCTCAGCCTCAAGGCAAAAGCAAACCTCTGAAGAAATCTTGCCAGGAAAACCCTAGAATAGGGTCAACTTAGGGTAACTATACGTCCAAAATTCCTGTTTGAGCACAAAGATCTTTGAGAAAAAGGTCTTTAAACAGAGGCTGGACAGCCATCTGTTGGGGATGATTTGATTGTGAGTTCCTGCATGGCAGAATGGGGTTGGACTGGATGGCCCTTGGGGTCTCTTCCAACTCTAGGATTCTATGAGAGGACCTTCTTGTGGCTGCTCCCAATTCTGGGAGTCCTTCCCTAGCTCCGTTCTTGCTCTCCTTCCACCGCCAAGTGAAAATTACATTTGGCCCTCCATATCTATGGATTCTGCACCCACAGATCCAACCATCCATGGCTTGAAAATATTCCAAAAATATGGATTCCAAAAAGCTTGACTTTGCCATTTTATCTAAGGGATACAATTTTACTATGCCATTATATTTAGTGGGACTTGAGCGTCCATGGATTTTGGCATCTTCAAGGGGAACCAAACCCCAGCAGATAGCAAAGGTCCACTGTAATAACAATAACAACAACAACAACAACAACAACAATAATAATAATAATAATAGTAACCCCTTGTATTTAGTGGGACTTGAGCATCCATGGATTTTGGTATCCACAAGGGGTCCTGGAACCAAACCCCAGCAGATAGCAAGGGTCCATTGTATTCTATTCCAACAGGTTCTTAGAAATGGACTGCAGTGGGCTATTAATTGTGCACCTTTTAAAATAGATTCTGCCTTTTAATTTTTAAATAGTTTTAAAAGATATAACCATGTTAGTCTTTAGAATCATTATGTAGAGAGATCCTGTAGCACCTTTGAGACTAACTGAAAGAAAGAAGTTGGCAGCATGACATTTCGTAGACTTGAGTCTACTTCCTCAGATGCATTTGGTGGAGTGGAAAGCCAGGGACAGACATATATATGCCATTGGTATGAGAGAGTGTCAATTCAAATTCAATATGCATCTGAGGAAGTAGAATGAAGTCTATGAAAGCTCATGCTGCCAACTTCTTTCTTTCAGTTAGGGGCTAAACCAGGGGTAGGCAACCTAAGGCCTGGGGGCCGGATGCGGCTCCCCGAGGCCTTTGGACCGGCCCCAGGCCAGTCCTGCCGCCACTGCCACCGCCCGCCATGATGATATCGATTATTGTTGTTATTACTTGTTCTTGGAGTTTTCTTGGCAAAATATCCAGAGGGTTTTTGCCATGGCTTTTCTGGGGCTGAGAGAGTGTGCATGTATATTTTTTTAATTTTTTAAAATATTTATTTATTTATTTATTGGTGCTTCGTCCCCCCAATTGTCTGAGGGACAGCAACCTGGCCCCCAGCTCAAAAAGGTTGCCTATCCCTGGGCTAAACAGACGGCCCCTAAAGGATGGCTTCCTGCTGCCCCTTTCCTTGCCGGATCAGGGCCGTGGCAACCGCGATCCAACGCTTTGCCACTCCCAAAGAGCTGGCAAATACCACCCCTTTTTGGAGCAGCAAAAAGCTACTCTTGGCATGGCGTCGGCGTCAGCAGCTTTTCCACGTTCCTTTGCCGCAGCCTGTGTACACTGCGCCAAGGGAGCGACCTGAGGCCACCTGCCATGCGGTGGGGCACGCGTCGTGATGGCGGCATCGGTGCGGAGTTGGGGCAGCCGCCTCAGGTCTTACAAATGTGGCCCAAGGCATAGACATAATTGGT